ATGATAGTTGTTACTTTTTAATTCTTTATCCTTTTATATTGTCTGTTGTAACTTTTTGTCACTTTATGATTATATTTTTCATCAATTACAAATACAAAAAAAAACAATAAAATAAATTTGACTAACTTTTTAGAGTTGCACAAAGAGTAGAAACTTTTACTTTATTAAACTTGACGTCATTCATTATAACAGAAGGGGGCAAACGAGCAGCGGGAACACCGAGGTGTTCAACGACGCCCATGGACATCAGCAATACCAGAGGAACCGCAGATGCGAGTTCATCGATCTTGTTAACTTTCCTTATGCGTTTAATAGAATTCTTTTCGTAAGATATTTTTGTCACCAACTATTCTCCATCTTTCTTAGAATCAAAGGTAATTCGTGCTAAAGTTACATATTTATGAAACTATCAACACGTTCAGTTCGCGTATTGATTTTCGGGCTAGCGTTTTATGTTTCTCGTTAAAACAAAACAACACTGTTACGATATAATTAAGGGGTATAATTTACAGCGGTCTCATATCACAAACACGTTGCTACACTGAAAATAAAATTAGTCCTCAGCGTTAGTATTCCACGCGACATCGTCGTAATCTTTATAGTTACACGTATGTTATGTTCTTGCATAAATAAAGCGCTTAACGCTGAATAGTTTTGGAAACAAATGCGAATCATAAAGTCGTTATTTCGTATCCATCTTGCGACAATCCATGGAATTCTTATTTGAAATTGCAGCACTTATTTACCTAAGTTTTGAACTTTTCTTTTTCGCACATTCTCTATTAATTTTATTGCATAAGTATTGAAAACTACCGATGCTATTCATTTAATTGCCTACAATTGCTCGTCTATTAATATCGGGACAATCCTATTTTAATTTCAAAGCATAGTTCCGAGCTGTCTGCTTTCGTTCCTATCCGGAGACAGGTCATTGACTCAATCATGGTATGTACTTTTAGAATGCGTTATAAAAGACTTAACAAAAAAATATTACCTAAAATGTACTACTGAAACATCCCATTGACCTGTTTAAAAACAAAAAAAATCATGTTTTCACGTCATCAAACCTGTCCATGAAATCAAAATCTCTTTGGACCGATGCCAATTTTTGATGAATGCAATATCAATATTCCAATGTGACAGTCGACGTTGTAAAGTGCTGCGTCATCGCTTAACGATCCCGTCGATCGTATTAATTACTGATACTTGACATTGCAACTGTTTTTCAAATGAATTAAATGAATCATTGGATGAATATTCGCCAATTAAGATTTTTAAAGAAGGTTAATTAAGTATTAAACCTTTGCAAAGGTTACATCTTGCAACCAAAAAAAAATTTAAAAAAAAACGTTGGAAATGTAGTAGTGACTAAGGATGGTCACATAATACGAGTCATTATTAATGAAATATCAATAAATTCGTATAACCTAAAATAATAAAGATAAAAATAAAGCATATCACGTTCGTATTTGAACAGTTATCCTGTCTCGTGATTTAATAATGCGACGCTAATGCATCATACAGAGATTGCCACTCAAACAATGACTGACGTCCGGAAACACAATTAACTATGTACCTATTTCAAAGAGGAAATATCAATTCGCCTGCGGAGGGGAATCGAGCGTCCATTTCGGATGTTCGGACTGGCCCACTCAATTATGCTCATACTGTATGTATGACTGATATTTTAAGCTTCAATATCCAGACGGCGTTTATTATTTCATGTGCTGAATTTATAAATAAAGAACTTTTCGTTCCATTTTTAAAATGATGACCAATTTTATTTTTTTATTCTTTTAATCGCCAGTTGTAAATCGTTGATTTAAATGTTATATTCGGACACATTTCACTTCAATTTCAGATCTTAAATTCATGTTTCTTTGTTAAGTGTTTCTGGAAGTATTAAAAAACTCCCTGCATTTCACAATCAGACAAAAGTAATTGTCAAACAGAAAGGCGAGTTATTAGTACTGACGTATTTTAATTATTCTTAGAAGACCACCCACTGTTTTCTGGTGATTAGGTCCGAACACTTTTTAATATGAATGAAAGTAAAAATAGTTTTTCACAAGCGTTTAAGTACTAACAGACATGTTTAATATTTATTATTACGAATGCCTTAATAATTGCATCTTATCTTTAAAGCTAGAATAAGCCTAGGACACGTTAAAAATTGACTAAACATTCCAACAACAGCCCACATCAGAAGGTCATATTCAAGACATTGTTTGATTAAATCCGAACTTAATCTAACGAAAGCATTTCATTTTACAATACTACGGCTCGGGCAATTCATACCGAAATTTCGGGACGCAATACTTTGACTCGCTCTATTGTATTTCTGGCTCAATCAAGTCAGATGGAATCCGAGGCGTATGCGTTTTATTTCACTTCTCATTCCAATGACGCTCGATCGACATGTTAAAATAGAACTGAACAACTAGGCTTTAGGTTTTTTTATTTTATATACGACAGATATATTTTAAATCATAGTTATAAGTAAAACAAAGCATATTTATAACTTGTTCTTATTCTATGGACTTGACAAAACGACTTGCTTTTCGTTGCCACCTTTAAGAGGCTAGTCTTATTTTAATATAAACTGTTAGATCTAAATCTTAGCCGAATTTGAATATAAAAATCTGTAATAAAAAACTTGAATTGTCATATTGCTTTAAATCGAAATGCTTTTAAAAATAATTCGCTGAATGAAATCCACACCAGAGTTTCACGCAAGAGATCCGTTGATGATATCACTAATGACAAATGCGCATTCTAATCTCAAAAAAGCACACGACTCTTGATAAAATCAAAAAGAGTGTCGCGTTCCCGTTTGAGTTATGTGTCGTCACATTAAGCAAGTGCCGGCAAAAAGTCCCGCAGCTCCAGCACAAGATCAAAGTGTGTCGCGACACGTCAAGACTAAAATAACTGAATGCACTTGTCAGCTCACGCGGTATGCAAAACTACACCCTTTTATACGTACGTATTTACATGCTAAACATCCAATGCTTTCTATCTATAAGATACAAAAATACATCTTCAAACAAAACTGGCATTGAATACTAGTTTTGAAAATCACACGTCTCCATTTTCGCTTTTTCATTTTGAATACACGAACACTCTGTTATAATAGGTACTAAAAATGCGTATGTCCCCTCTATCAAAGAAAGAGAGAACATTTTAGTAGACATGAATATAATTCTTGGTTTTATTTATGCGTCTATTAAACCGTAACCATTCAAAGCTGTAGATGAATTAAAGGGAGGAAGCAGACATTAAATAAAGAGCATTAATCTTAGTATTTGAACACGATTTCTCCATTATATTAAAAAAAACATCCATTTTAAAATAATTATTTTTATAACCTGTAGAATTAATTTCCATTTAATGACATATAAAATAAATTTATATACTTTACATAAAAAGTCTTAAATCTATGATATTAAATAAAATATTAAAAACGAATAATTAACTAAAATATATTATTAAAAGGAGTCCCTTAAGGCAAGGTTCCTAAGATACTGGCAGCGTTCCCTCTTTGAATAGCTAAACTAATTCTTTGTCCGAGGTAGCTGCCAGGTCTTCGGTCCCCTGTGATATCGATTAACTTTTTTGATATTTCCTGTAGAATATTTAGATTAGAGACTTTAGTATTTTTTGAACCTTATAATTTCCTACTTTCCTAATATTTTGTTCTGAGGCTAAGTACTACGCAGTACTTTACCAATAGAAATAAAATAAACCCTTATCCTTGTCTGAAGCAAGACTCGTTTAATATATCTCTTTAATATCTTTAAGAACTGAGGGACAATTCATTTTTATTTGTTAATAAAATAGCTTTTTCCGGAATTGATTTTTCCCGTCGTCTCTCGTCTGGATGAACGTTTCGTCGACGTCGGAACAAAAGAATTCCCTCCACTTTCAATAATCGACGCAAACATCCGGGACTCGGAGTTGGAATATTCCTTTAAACTTTTAACTAATGAAAAATCCAGCAACTCATGTTAAACGAAAACTATTTAACAAAGAGTTTTGGAAAATTTTGACAAAATGAAAAGGGGAAACTTCTTGTGATATTCTTTAGTATTTTCCTAATTTGTCTTTACTATCATATGACAGATTGCTAACGATATGACAAACAACAAAAAGAAAATAATTTAATGCATTTTTGGAAAGAAATAATTTTACAGCACATTGCAATTATTATATTATTTGAGGCATATCTCGTGAATTTTATTAATATTCATCCACTTTAAAATAATAATTCTCACGGTAATATAATGCTTTCGTTTTACCTTTACGCTGAAGTAACACCTCAATTACACAATAAATCATAGTATCGGTGCATCGGACACAAATATTATCTATACAGACGGTATCTCCCGGTAGCCAGTCTGTCCGTCTGTCGCTTTGGGCGGGCCATTATTCATGCGCCAAACTATACAGCGCCCACATCTATCCAGAAGCTGTACAACTTATAATTATTTTAAATGCACTCTGAGAAAATCTTACTGATACTTAATCTTCCTGACTTTGTAGTATATTTAACGGTACCATTCAGATTATGTATTTAAAAGATTACACTTTTTGATCACAATAAATCGATCGCTAATTGTGGATTTCTGAAACTAAAATCTATGTTTAAAGCATATCTTCAACTCTGTGACAAAACAGAGATAAGATATTTTAAACCTACGATTAGTTTATTAATTCCTAGGCAGGTAAATATAAGATATCATTCAAACAATAAGTTGCTTTATATCAAAGTTTATAGTACTAGCTAATTAACACCACAAAATACCAATTACCTTAAGTACCCGAATCTTGTAAACAATGGAATCAATCTTATACCGAAAATCAGTTGGCAAGTGCGCTGACCGCTAAATCACGCATTCGTAAACAAATATATTACACAATTAATGAATCAACGCAACGATACGAAGTGGCAAGGTCGAACTATGTTTAGCATAACATAACGTTTTCCTTTACCGTCTCAGTGCTTCGCGAATGCTCAGTCCATTCTGACACATAACCTAAAATGTACTAGAATACAAATTAAACATTAAAATGAGATTTTTAATCTATATTTTGTTATTAGTTCTATTTGTAAGTTTATATGAAGCTAAGGACCTTGTGGTGGGTACAAGAGTGAATAATTTGTTAATATCAACGGAGAAAGTTGTTTATCGCGCAATACCCCTTATAAAAAGAGATAAGGATTATACATTCAATGATCCGAAGCAAAGGATTATAAAGGTAAGTGTCAACGTTACAGAATTTACATAACTTATCGAATTAAATAGATTATCTTGATTTTACTTTACAAATTCTTTAATAAATGAGTCATAATCAAGACTTTACTCATGACAAGTGGCTTCAAACATGTTAATAACATAAAACGTTTTAGAAATTGATATTTTATTATTTTTATTTATATTTGCAAGGTTATGAGCATCATGGCCATGACCCAGAAAACGATGAGAATTTTGCTTGCGTTAGTTTTTAGATATAAATATACTTAGGTGTGTCCACGAGTCTGTTCGCGCGGAATTAAGATAAATATACCGTAAAGTTGTACAATAAACATTTAATTTTCAATAACAAATAATGAGATTAAAACTACCCTATCTCTCTAGTACAACCATCATATGATTACAAAATTTGAGAAGCATTGGTTAAGTAGTTTCGGAGTTTATCGTGAACATCCATCGTAACACGAAATTTTATATATAGAAGATATAAGATTTTTTAATTATAACACTTAAAGACACTTATATAAGTACATATAACATGATTTATTACATTATAATATGAGAGTACGAGTGACAAGTAATTTATTACACAATGTGTACATAGCTCGAGTATCATTTGGCATCTTACTCTTATAAATAATGCAAGTATGGGTGCCAAACTGAATTAAATAATTGTAAAAAATAATTAACAAAGTTATGCAATAAAAACTCAAAAACTTCACAATTCAATTTATATCTCGTAGTTAGCTGTTCTTTTTTTTTGCAGGGCATAATAGCTCGCGATCTGTCCCGTTCAGACGCGCGTGCAACGGTGACACAGGGAGGATTGGGTGCCACCAATGTCACCATACACTTCCAGAGCGAGCGAGGAGAGGGACTCAACTATTTAGTACTCATATTTACTAAGAATTCATAATACTAATAAATATATGTCGGTACACTGATGTCAACTGAAATTTTTCGCAAGTCAACGCTAATTCTCATTTTAAATTAAATTTTTGGTAATAACATTTTTACGTTTACGAATAAAACATTGAATGAAAAATATGTATTTTATTTACATTTCATTACTTTGTCCATAATTTGAAATTATTTGAACTAAAAAAAAAATAGTTTTTATTGAACTTTCGTGAAACTATATCCAAACTAAGTGTTCAAAATTCAACCGTCTGTATATGAACTTACCCGATTCCTGAACGTTAAATTATTTTATTTGTATTTAGGAACATTAATTAACTCCGTAAGTACACGAAGAATGTCATTAATATGAAATCTGAAACTGTCACTTTAGAAAGTGTGAACTTTACGAACACGTGTAGTATAAATAAAAAACTTCTTTATTTAGTCGAGTAGTTTAATTATAAGGATAAATAGCGTACATTAACAAAGCTGTTATGTTCACAGTTACTTAGAACATCTGCAAACACTTTAACATGTATCGTTTTGTTTCTTTACTTTACTGTTGTAACAAGGATCCTCAAAGTGTTGACAGTTCAAAAGATGTTCACACATAATTTCTGTTCACATGATTCTCAAATCAAACAAATAACCTAGCTAACAGTACTGAACATAACTAAGGGGTTGAAATCTGGCACAAAAAACAGCGTTGCGTAGAAATAGAAATAAATAATGGCTGCCTTAAATTTATATTAAGCGTTATCATATTTTCAATACCCCTTATATGAGAAATAGGATTTCGAGGAGCATAAATATTTCCTCCGAAATATTTTATTAGGTTTTGAAATTCTTTCAAGCTATTATATTAACGAAGTTTATATAACTTTCTCTAATCAAACTGATTTATAAACACGGCTAAACACTCACGTATATTCGTCCGGTGGCGGCACCAACTAGTTTCGAGCCCAACGGGGGCCCTTCATCAGGATGAGTGGTACTGATATTATTTCGCGGACGCGGCCCGTTTCTCTAATCAATTTGAACAATTGAACATCGAATTAACAGTATGTATCTTTTTGATCTCAACAAATTAAGAATGCCCCGCGCGTGCTGTTTGGCACTGACAAGTCACCCTTAGTGCAAACATACAAATCAATTTTAGCGAATCGTCATTGTGGACATTGAGGGGATGGTGGGTGGGTTGAGCTAATGGAGACACACGCATTAAACTGCGCCTCGTGCTGCGACAACATTGACACAGTCCAGGGGGCATAATTAGTTTAAGCCAGACCAGGGCGTCCCGGAGACGAAAACAAAGATATAGAACGACTATCTGACTGGATAAGGCTTTAGAAACAATAAGAGAATTATAAGCCAAAATTATCATTGAAATTTCAAAAGGTTAAATAGAACATTTTTATATGAGACAGCAACGTGGTTTCTAATTAAAAATGATGGATAAATATATTTGCGTTTAGGTTTGATTCATCAAACACTATGATAATCAAATTGTTCTAATATTACCATACAAGTTATCAGACCAGTCTATTAGCAAGTTGCGTATTTCGATCAATATTTATGCATTTAAATATTTGTATTTTATAGAGTTATTCTAGTATCCGTATATCCGTGTAACGTCCAGTGGGGCGCCGCTCGGCTTTCACATTTTACTCGAGGATCAAAAAGCATGCGCTTATTACAATTTCATTGAATTACTTAAATGTACTTACCTGACTAATTTAATTTGTCTGCTTTGGAGGTTGTCCTTTATTACAATAATAGCGACATCTGTTGGTCACACATCGTAAAGAAGGAAGATTAACATTTTTGTAGTGGATGAACATTATACATACACGCATTCGCAATTGTTAATTTACGAGTACTAAAGAAACTATATAACAGTAACTATATATAGTTTCTCGTATTAAATCTATTCTAAAGTATTTCACTTAATCACTTTTAAGTGCCATACTAACTGTTGGTTTCTGAGACTAAAATCTTTGTTTAATATATGTTTTATTTAGCCGACTTAAAAAAGAAGGAGGTTATCAATTCGTCTGTATGATAATATCACAGTTAATAATGGGGATAACGGTATGTTTTGTACAGATATTTTGGTCTCAGAAACCAACCATAAATTGACAATGTAACATCCGATATCCAGCTAAGCCATAAGCTTCTATGAATTTACATAATTCTTTGAACATGTCTACTTTTTAAACTAGAAAATCTGTAAAATGTTACCTAACGCAAGCTACATAAAGCGGATTATTAAAAACTAAATTTTGTAGTGTTATTCATATGATAGCGTATAAACCGCAGCAAAGCCTGGAAAATATAAAAGTGGAAAAATAATTTTCGGACGTAATGCAACCACTTCAACGGCACAGGCGAGCGAATAAATAAAACATGGACACAAGTTGGTAATGCACATTCGGCGTTAAGGTGTCTACACACTGACAGACATACCAGCTGAAATTTTTTTTCAAGTTAACCTAAAATTTAATTAGTCAATGAATTTGATGTAAGACAAAAAATCGTAATATTTTAAAAATACGGTTGATTTTTATAAATCACCAGCATTAAAATACATAACGACAAGTTTCATCATTCATTGTAGTATAGATAAAAACGAAAAGAATTTTACAAAAAGAATTATTCCAATTCGAGACCTTTGTTTTTAATTTAATTTTAAGTCTTAATAAATTTTAATCACAATCTCTGACTACAACTTTTAAATATTTCATTTCTGCATTTAATAAATCTTTTAAAGTCGTTCGTGTATAGAATGCCTAAATGAATCCCCACAACTAACATTTTGACTTGCACTCGAATATACCATGAAATATCATGAATTATACCCTAACCGTTAAAAATGTCTTACTTTAGTAGAATATATGGTGCATATTATTTTCGGAGTAGTTGAAATTGGCAATTTAATTTTTGTCCAACTGGTAATTTCATCATGTTACCTATACTTAAGTCTTGTAAAAATGATTATTTGGAGTTTCTAAGTTAATTGAATTAACAAGTACAATTGATATAAAATATAATATAAAAAAAAATATTAAATTGAAATGGTTTTTTTTTGGCACATGTTTTGTTCCTGGCACCTATAACCGTTAAAAAACTCATACACAAAACCGAGTCGTCTGAGCAATAAAAATATAATCTACGAGCACATAAAACAAAGCACATTCTCAACATTATGAAGTAAAGTATCTTTGCATACGCTTTCATTTTAAGACATTTTTCGTAAATTACGACTTACGTTGGTTAATAATTCATCGCTGGTTGTCGTACGTGTTCATATAAATAAATAATATACGTGTTTTCCACGTATAAATATATGTACTACCAAAATATATAACACAGAGTATTACTACGAGAGAGTATACACCCCGCGGCATACTACACGGCTGGCGAGACTTCACGGACGCTGCTCTCTACATAAAAGCTTTTACTATTAATCTCTACACCTATATGGAGAACGAACGGACTAGGCGACGCTTTGTTCGTATCCATTTACGTAAATGCTTTCAGATTTATTTACACTGATAGTGTACGATTTTCAATTCGACGTTTTGAAACAATGTATCGGAGAAGACAGTTCCAGCATTGTTTCAAAGATAGAAAGAAGATACATTCCGTTAAAACATTTTAAGCAACACTCGGGAAAATTCCATCCTAATAGTAAACGTGACGATTCACGTCTTTCAAGAAGCTATGCGAATGACATAATCGAATTTAGAAACATTATAAATTATTATTCAAACGAAATAATGCGAAAATTCACGTTTAATAATAAATAGCCAGTAATAATTTTCCTTAACAATTCTCCCCTCTGATTCTAACAGTACAGATAACCTGAAACAGTCTAATTTAATTCGCTACGTGAATTAATCACCGGCATTAACGTTAAAAGCTTTTTGTATCACCCTTTTTGTTAGGTGGGCGCTCGGTAATGGTTCGTCGCGATTCTTAAACCCCGCGTTCTCGACACAAGCCGACCCTTGTTAACATTCAAAGGACCCAACGACGATTGCCTCACAAAAACACAACGAATAAATAAGAAGTAAAGAAACTTTTCCAATTCCGTTCGTTCTCCCCTAACACCTCTAGAAACTGAATAGGATATGGTCGGAGTAACACCGAAAATTCGATTTTGATGCGCCCCATCAAAAAGTCATTTCCTTGGAAAACAAAAGCCACGAAGGAAAGTTCTAATTCGATCCAATCTAAATCCAATTACGCCACACCCCCGCAGCCCCGTCGCTAGCACGAAGGAAGCAGGTTCGATATACATCTATAAGTTGTCGAGAATGTTTGCTCTCTAACTGATTGTGTGTGTAAAATAATCGGAAATATCGTATTTCAAAAGAATTTTCTTTATCCAAATAGATTTAGAAGTAAACATGTTTAAGAGGACGAATCTCAAATATTTTAGTATTATTTTGGTTTTAATTTCACATGAACAACAATAAGCATTTTTATAAAGCTTTTATTGAAGTTGTATGACAAATTTCTGTTGACATATCTTTTATATATATTAATGGTTACTTCTTAAAATTTTACACAAGTGAAAAAAATGTTCCAATTATTTTTTACTAACATAATACTGGTTATTTGTTGAAAATATAACATGAAATTTCCTTATCCTTTCCTTATTTTTCGAGTCGAGGGAAATTGCTATAAATTTTGAGATGAGCAAAGGTTCACCCAGATTAATTTAGGATTACGAACGGCGGGATGAAAACAATGAAAATACATTTTATAAGCCGACATTGTAGCCCAATCTAAAATCAATTTAAAATTTCTCTTCGACGTTACTTTTTCCAAAAAAACATAGCGAAAGTTCTTTAAACGTATTACATTAAAAAAATAAATTCAAATCTGATATTTGGTGTTATTTTACTTGTATTTTATTAAGGATTCTTAAGCATCTAAATTTTATATCCGATCAAAATACAACCTAATTTTTTTACATTAACTAATTTTATACTAAAGAAAATATTGTATACTGGCTGTAAAAAGAAGATAAATATAAACGATTCTTAACGTTGTGCTAAGAATTACAGTTCCCTCTACAATTATAGGGAACAGCTTCGCAAACGTTCCGAGTCAAATGCAAA